AAAATTTTTCAATAAAATCTTAAACCATTGAAATATCATAACAAATGTTTTTATCACTTGATTTCCAGAAAGCACATAAATGAAATAAATGGTTGTAAATAATTTACTAGATAAAAACCAATAAAATATAAAATAATCAAATAATCAAATTTACAAATTTTTTTAGGGACTTATTAGAACAATAAACAAACGTGGACACATAATCCACGAGGGTAAATAACCAAATGGGGCTTATGCCATGAATACAAACGTGGACACACAGTCTACGAGGGTAAGTAACCAAACGCAGTCGAAGCCACAAAACAAACATTGACACAATCCACGAGGCAATACTAATTAAATGCGGCTTGAAGCCACGAAACAAACATGAGTACGATACTCATGAATAACCATCCCTCCGTTCCACATGCATTGGCCATCGTACGGGGCGAGTACCTCCTATAAACACCCTGCTAGCTAGGTGTACCATGATGTGCCAAGGGCTAACGGAACTGCCGTTAGTAACCAGTGTTCTATATAAAGTCCCTTTCAAATTCAATTTCAAACATGCGAGAAATTGATCATTATTCAATCAAATTTTCCTTTTCAATGTCGAACTCGCATAAATTATTTTTTCATAGCAATTCAATAATTTTCAAAATAAAATCCCACAATTAGAATTCAAACTTGTATTTACTGATTAACTAAAATGATCAATTTTGGTAAAATAATTTCACGAAATAAAGTAATTTAATCAAAAAATATCTCATAATCACATTGTTGTCGTAAAAAAAATTTGCATAAAAATGTAATATTTGAATAAAGGAGATTTTAATAAAATATCAGTTGGAATGCTATCCACTTACCTGGCATGTTCTTAAACGTAAAACTTACTCCTACTTGGCACTCTTGCGTCAATGCTTGATCTCTAAGTTCCTAATATCCAATTAATATCATTATCATTTTCTTATACATGCCTCATCATTTAAAATCTTCAGTCCAAAAATGATTAAAAATAAAAGATAAAACCTTCAACTTCAAACTTTCTCAGACATCACACCAAACACTTCACAATATTTCCAAAGATGCATATATATAAATAATTTGGTCTTGAATTACCAACAAAGTCTCTTTTCTTAAAATCTCTAATTTTAAATCTTCCATTGTAGAAAATAAGTGTCTTCCATATTTATAACTTTTTATTAAAACACCAAATGCACATAAATTCCAAATCCCTCCATAAGGCATTTCAACATTCAAATGTTTTGTCTGACAATTTCTTAACAATCATATCTACATTATATTTATGAGTAAATTTCTATAGAATATCAAACTTAATTCACAAGCCAATAGCATCCAACCTACTTACGTCTCTCAAGGAATTCAATGAAATTTTATAAAATACACAATCAAGCAAATCCATCTCGCTAGCATTTTATCAAGCATCTTATGGGCACCATTTTACAAGCTTCAAGTCTAAGTTCTTTTATCCAAATCTCATCTTAACAATTCTTCAATATCAACTAATCCAAACAAACTAATTTAACTCAAAAATTATAACCTATACTTATCATAATTTTGCTCTCAGCACATAAGTTTCAGCTTAAACTCTTCTCTCTCTCTTCTTTTTTTTTCTCAACAGTCACGAACAGCAGCTGTAGAAATTCAAGAGAAAATTGGCAATTTCAACTCTATCACATCTTGCACTTACACGCATAGATTATTCGAAGAGAAGGAGAAGAGATATAAGCTTCTAACATCAGTTGAATTGACATACACGAACAGGGGAGGAAGAGAAAATTTCGTGTATGCAGGGGAATAAAGGTTGTTGCTGAGCATAATAAGATAAGTAGATGGATGACTGATAAAGGAAATAAAGAAAGCAAGCCATTTAACTCACCCATATACTCGCACCAATAATGAAGAAACACATCCTCGTCAATCTGAAATAGAGGAGCAGAAGAGAAACAAAAGCCATGAGTCTGATAGACCAACGGTAGACGGAGCTGTAGCAAAACGTCGGGGATGTGGATAGACAGTAGGCGAGTGACTGAGCCATGACCTATGGCAATGAGAGATTGACGATGCAAAGCAGAGGAAAACAAAGAAAGAATGACGTGAATAGAAGAGGAAGATTAGAGAAGCTAGCGATCCAACCGACTATCACCGACGAAAATGAACGGAGAGGAGAATGGCGGGCAAACTGATGATGATGGGAGGAAGAAAGTGTGACAGGGAAGAGGAGAAGAGCAGTAAAGAAAATTCACGATCCTTCCCCAATCTGCTCTGTTCAGTCCGCCAAATCAAAGAGAAAAGGAGCTAAAAATAATATATAAAGCTTATGGAAAAAATTACCGTTAAATACCCCATTAGATTTTATTATTATTATTATTATTATTGTTATTATTATTATTATTATGTTTTTTTTGTAATAATAGACAAGGGCACATTCAGTAATCCCTCCCATATAAAATAAAACTAACATATTTGACTTAAATAAAATTTAAACTCTAAACTTTTATATAAGTAACCAATATGAATTCAACCAAGTCACTACATCCTCATTTGTTAAAAATTAAAATAATTAAATTAAATATTAATTGAGATAGAATTTATTTAAGTTAAAATTTAAGATCATTATACTCTTGCTAGACTAACATTGCTCATGATAAAATATTTTTAAAATTAATACAAATACAATTAAAACTTACTATTATATATTTTAAATTTTTACTTAAAATTCTTGGGTTATTACATAATGTAATGCAGTAATGCGCCATGTATGATTTTTCCATTTTTATTTTCCCTTAATTAAAATGGGTGCTAAAAATATGTACAATATACCATGGATGGATGATTTGCAATGTAAAAAAAAAGTTTGAACATTTATTTGTTTCAATTTATGAGACTTCTTTTGTTGTGATAAATGAAAAGGGTAAGACGCATTTATTTGCCCCAATGCAAATGTATGGATAATGCAAATGTATTGCAACAATTTTTATTGGAAAGCTTGATGTTGAAAACCGTTTTAATATATATTCCTTTTTTGAAAAATTTTGTGCATATTTAATAAATAATTTTGAACACAAAGTAATACCTCCAAGTCAATTATTTAACCTTTATTCATTAACAGGTGTAGTATCATAATATGCCGTTGCCCCTCTTTAGAAAATTCAAATGACCAAATTCTTATCACTTGATCTTGCTTTCAAGTTAATGAGATCAACTTTTATGACCGAATACTGATAGCACACATGCTCTGTTATCATTTTACACCTACGTGATAATCTTGATACCTCAAGGGCGAAAAGTAAGAATAAAGATACTAGCATTCTACATCAAGTAAATGTATTAATAAATATTGTTCCTTAAATGTGAATTTGCTATAATATATGAGATATGAATTGAATATGATAACACGAAAAGAGAAAAAAGATGATCTCAAAGGAATAAGGGTGGAAAAATTTATTCTCTAATGCAAAATTTCATAGAGAGATGGGAATATCTTGGTTTATGAGTACAAATGGCCTAAGTGCGAATGGGATGTGTGAATCCACTTAATCACATCTCTCTCCTTTAGCTTTTCAAAACCCTAACAAGTGCTTCACTGAGCTGCCATTGATATGCATAGTGTGAGGGACGATGGAGTCAACTTTCCCTAACATAGATACTTAACTTCTTATGCTTTCCTTTCTTCTCCTAAGACATCCTTTTATCTTAGTGAACTCTTCTTTTTCTTATCATTACTTTGCTTGTTCTTAGCTCTAACTTTTGCTTATGTTGCCTTTATAGGTTTTCAACCTAATGAGCTATTCTTTCCTTTTCATTTTCTGTTGGCTCTTATTTTTGCTTAGGTTGCGTTTACAAGTTTTCAATCTAGCGAGCACTTCTTTCTTTTTCATTTTCTATTTAAGCAAAGTAATGCTTGACAGCATCTACATTAATGGGCTTTGCTAACTCTTGATCGTCCATGTCAGCTAGGATTAGCGCTCCTCCAAAAAAGGCATGTTTGATAATATAAGGTCCCTTATAAGTCGGAGCCCATTTAACTTTATTATCTTCTTGGTTAGGCAATATTTTCTTGAGTACAAGATCACCAGCACTAAATTCCCTTGGGCGAAGTTTTTTATGAAAAGCTCTTGCCATTCTCTTTTGGTGCAATTGTCCATGACACATTGCAGTAAGTCTTTTCTCTTCAATCATGTTGAGTTACTCAAATCAGATTCGTACCCATTCATTTTCTTCTAAATTGGCCTCAGCCAATACTCTAAAAGATGGAATTTCCATCTCAATGGGTGTGACAACTTCCATTTCCTAAACAAGGGAGTATAGGGTTACCCTTATGGATGTGCGTACAGTAGAACAATAACCATGTAAAGCATAGGGAAGCATCTCATGCTAATCCTTATAAGTTATATCATTTTTCCAATGATCTTCTTAATATTTTTATTGGCTGCTTCAACTGCTCCATTCATTTGAGGTCTATATAGGGTTGAATTATTATGCTTGATTTGGAACTTCTCGCAAAAGTTTCTGACTTTCATTCCATTGAGATTAGGACCATTATCAGTAATGACCCTTTCAAGAATCCTATATTGGCACAAAATATTTGTCTTCATGAATTTAAGGAATGTTTTTTACATGATGCTAGCAAATAAATTCGCGTCTACCTATTTTGTGAAATAGTCAATCACGACGAGGATAAAGCAATGTCTATTTGAAGCTTTTAGGTTAATTGGACTAATAATGTCAATTCCCCACATTGAGAATGGCCAAGGTGATACCAAATTATGTAATGAGATTAAAGGAGCATTTATCTTATTAGCATAGATCTAACATTTGTGGCATTTCTTAACATGCTAAAAGCAATCTTTCTCTATTGTTAACAAAAAGTAGCCACACCTTTGAATCTGTTTGGCCATAGTGTGACCATTCGCATGTGCATCGCATATGCCTTCATGTACCTCAACCATAATTTTCTTTGCTTCTTTTGAACTCATACCGTGAAGTAAGGTACCATCTTAACCCCTCTTGTACGGAACATCTTTACTGATAAAGAATGTCATAGCTAAACGATGAGGGGTTTTCTTTTCATTCTTAGTCATTCTGGTTGGGTATGATCTCTTAGTGATAAAGTCCTTAATATCTTGGAACCAAGGATGTTCTTCTTGATCTCCTTCAACATTCAAACAGTATGCTGGAAAGCTTCTAGCTTCTACTTGAATGGGTTGGACATGGTCTCCACAATCAAGTTGAATTATTGCTGCTAAAGTGGCTAAAGCATCAGCGAAACGATTTTTATCTCGAGTTAAGTGATGAAAGCTAACAACCTCAAATTGCTTAATCAAATCTATTAAGAGTTCTTGGTAGAGAATCAATTTTACATCCTTTGTTCTCCATTCTCCTGTTACTTAATGAATAATGAGATCTGAATCACTAAACACCTTCAAACATCGTATACCAAGGGTAATAGCTGCTCGAACACCATTAACACAAGCTTCATATTCTACTATATTGTTAGTACAATCAAATTCTAATTTAATGGCCACTAGAAATTGTTTTCCTTCTAGTGAAACAATTACTGCTCCCACCCCATTTCCATGTATGTTGGCGGCGCCATCAAAATACATTTCCCATTCTTGCTCTTCATCATTTCCTTCATCACAACCTTCTTTTGTAGTACATATGCCTTCATCAGGAAATTGAAAATCTAATGGCTGGTCATCCCTATCGACCAAGTGATCCACTATCGCACTACCTTTGACTGACTTTTGCATCACATGCTTTATATCATATTTAGATAGTACAACTTTCCATTTCAATACTCTACCTGCAATGTGTGGGCTCTCAAAGATGTACTTGAGTGGGTCCACTCGTGTTATTAGCCTGGTAGTATAGTAAAGCATGTATTGCCTTAGCCTTCTAGTTGCCCATACTAGTCCACAACAAATTTGCTCAATCATGAGATAATGAGCTTCACAATCATTGAACTTGTTGCTTGAGAAATAAATTGCTTTTTCCTTCTTTCCAAAATCATTACGTTGACCTAGTATTGCCCCTATTGAGCGAGGTAAAGTTGCCAAGTAGAGGATTAGTGGACGTTCTGGTGATTGAGGAACCAAAATTAGGGGATTTAACAAATAATCTTTGATTTTATCAAAGGCCTTTCGATAATCATCATCCCATGTCTCCTTGCAATTTTTCTTTAATAGCTTAAACATTGGTTCACAAGTAGCTGTTAGATTGGCAATGAATCTAGCAATGTAATTCAATCATCCCAAGAAACTCCTTGAATTGGGGAGATGGCATTTCTTGAATTGCCCTCACTTTATCTGGATCTACTTCTATCCCTTTACGACTCACAATGAACCCCAATAACTTTATCTGGATCTACTTCTATCCCTTTACGACTCACAATGAACACCAATAACTTCCCAAAAAGAGCTCCAAAGATGCATTTATTAGGATTCAATCTTAGCCGATATTCGCGTAATCTCGCGAATAGCTTTCTAAGGACTTTAACATGACTCTCATTCTCTGCTGATTTAGCTACCATATCATTTACATAAACTTCAATTTCTTTATGCATCATGTCATCGAATAGTGCTACCATAATTCATTGGTAAGTTGCCCCAGCATTTTTCAAACTAAAAGGCATCACTCAATAATAATATGTTCCCTATTGGGTTGTAAAGGTTATTTTCTCTTTATCTCCTTCATGCATAGGGATTTGATTGTACCCTGAATAACCATCCATAAAGGAATAGTGATAGCTTTGAGTAGTATTATCAACTAATATGTTAACGTGCGGTAGTAGAAAATCATCTTTCGGGCTCGCATTATTTAAATTATGATAATCAACACACATTCAAATCTGACCATCTTTTTTAGGAATGGGAACAATATTTACCACTTATTATGGGTAAATTACTACCTCCAAGAATCCTGCTTCTAACTGCTTCATTACTTCTTCTTTTATTTGCAAGGACACCCCCGTATTCATTCTCCTTAACTTCTATTTCTTAAGCTCAACCTTGGGAAGAAATGGTATTTTATGAAAAGCAATGCTTGGGTCTAGCCCAGGCATATCTTTATAGGACCATGCAAATACATCTATGTATTCTTTAAACAACTCAATCATTTGCTCCCTTTCAGGATTATCTACTATTTTGAGCATTTTTTGATCCTCCCTAATTCCCATATTAATCATCTTAATCACTTCTTCATGTGGGCACATTCTCTTATCACTCAATTCAAGTATCTTAGAAAAAGTTTGGATTATGTCTTCATCAGCAGACTCATAATCATGCATATCAATGGCAACAAGCGAATCATCTTTACAGGGTTTATTAACCTCTGGGTGAGAGATAAAATCAGAAGAAACAAAATCCCTGGATGATAGAAATGAATATGGAATGAAATAAAAATAAGGAAAAGAAAAGAAAGAGGAAAGAATGAACTGAAGTAGAAAGGGTGGAATAAGGAGATACACATGAATGCAATTGAAATTTATTTCCATAAATTATGTGCATCAAAAGTTTGCATTAGAGAATACCCAAGATCTATTACCTAAACCTGGGCTCAAAAAGTGGATAAAAAAATATGAACAACATAATTAAAACAATTACTCTAAGCTAATGACATCATTGGCCTCTTCAAACTCCCAATTCCCCAGAACTTTGCTAGAATTATCGATTGCAATTGAGGCACTTTTTCCACTTGCTACACCCTCATTGGAAGAGATCATTGAGATGTTGGTTCACATATCACCTCAGATGGGCCTGGAAAGGTTTCTTTGATGTGTGAAATCTCCAATTTACTGGCCTTTTTGCCTTTCGCCAAACTTGCCTTTTCCTTCATCTAATTTTCTAAGGTAGGCTCATACCCTAACCCTTAATGATTATAATTATCCAAAACCTTAATCAGATATGTAATTCCTTGTAGATAAGGGCCTAAAACTTTCCCTAGCATAAACCCACTCTTCATCATGATTTTAGCAATAATGGAATTGATGTTATGAGTACTGTCACAAATACCCTCAACTTTCAAGCTTTGAAATGAAATTCCATGATCCTTCTCTGCAGCCTCAATATAAAGGAGTGAGCTTGGTTTGCTCACCATGATTTCCTCCTTTCCTTTAATTGCTACAATTCCCTCATTATTGATGAACTTAATCTTTTGGTGTAGGGTAGAAGGAACGGCCCTAGCAGAATGAATACATGGCCTTCCTAGCAGCATTGTGTAGCTTGGATCTATGTTCATAAGTTGAAAATCTACCTTAAACATGCTTAGTCCTATCTCCAGAGAGAGATAAATAGATCCTAATACTTCTCGTCTTGATCCATCGAATGCTCTCACTATAATGTTGCTTTTGTGTACACTTAAAACTTCTAGTGACAATGATTCAAATGTAGAGAGCGGCAACACATTTAATGCTGATCCTCTATCAATCAATACTCTTGCTATTATGAACCCTTCACATTTAAAAGTGATATGCAAAGCTTTCGTTTGGTGGACAACAGTTTTTATAACTTCCTCTTCCGAAAAGGAAATGGTAGAGGAGGCTTTTACAACATTCATCACACTTGCCACCTTCTCAGGGGTTATATTAGGCTGTATAAAAACTTGATTCAAAACTTCTTGCAATGCTTAGTGATGCACTTCAAAATTCAAAATCAAAGAAAGTATTAAGATACATACTGGAGTTTTTTTTAATTGATCCATAATGCTGTAATCACTTTGCTTCATAATCAATAGAAACTTATCTTCCAATGTTTTTTATTTCTTTGGGATTATCTTCCTTTGGCCTGTTATTTTTCTCTCTTACCATCTTCCTAATGTAAGATGGCAAGTATGGCTTTCCACTTCGAGTAACACCTCCTGGGTTTGCTATTTCATTGCTTGTTCTAGCAATCAATGTTGAGCTTTTATGGTTCTCTATAATGCTTTGATATCTCCATGGGATTGCTCGATCGCTTTCATAGGGAAAGGGATGAGGTGTGCTTATAATCAACGTTGGTTGTCTTGCGTGAGGTGTAAGATCTATAGAGGCTTTTTTGATCACAAAAAAGGCTGCTTTGACTTGCTCTTTTGGGCTTGAATTTTTAATGACAAGCTCAATACACCTTTTCTCTACCATACACACCTTGGTATCTCCCTTCTTTACGGACACAATCCTTAGCACCATCATTTTTCTAACAGTTTCTTTAAACTGTTCGCAACTTTCTATATCATGGCCTATTATCTCTTGATGATTTTCACAATATCCAAGCCTTTGATCATCAACATTATCTGTGAGGAAGATTTCTTGTATATAGCCATACTCCTTTAAGTGAGCATAAAGCTCATTCTTAGGCATCTTGATCCTTGTAGAGCTTTTAAAAAATGTATCCTCTTCTTTGATAGCGTTAACTTGCTTTTTATGGTTTTGAAGTGGATTAGTAGTAATAGTATAGCGTCCCTCTTGTTTAAGCTGGATATGATTAGAATTAACTAGGTCTACTATATTCCTTTTAAACGTCATACACTCTTCTATTAAGTGTCTAGGTGCACCCATGTGGTATTCACAAATAGCATTTAGATTATACCATGCTGGGTAAGGTGGACTAAGAAGCTTATAAGGTCATGGACCTAATAATTGGGCTACTAGAAGTTTATGATACAATTTATCATTTGTTAATCTAAAATTAGGCCATGGGCGACTATCCCTAGATTAGATATTTCTCCTCTCTCCATCCTGCCTGTGCTTGTTAGGCCTGAACCTAAATTGTGGCTATCTTTGATTCCTTCCCTATATTTGATAAGGGACTTGGGGACTAGTAGCAGCTTGTCTTATAGGTTGAATATAGTTCACATTCCCTTCTTTCTTTTTTTTGGTCATAGTTCTTTCGTGAACTACTTTCAGCTTGAAAAGTGGCTATTTTCCCCTCTCGTATGTCTGTGTCAATCCTTTCTCCAATTACCATTAAATCAGCAAAATCAGTGACATATGTTCCTATCATGTACTGGTAAAATGGCTTAGGCAACGCACGAATGAAGTACGAGCAAAGTTCAGAGTTCACCATCGGAGGTTGCACTTGTGAAGCCACTATTCTTCATCTTTGAGCATATTCTTTGAATGATTCTAATGATTTCTTGGTTATTGCTTTCAATTGTTCTCTAGTTGGAGCAGTTTCAAGATTGAACTTGTATTGTCTCATGAAAATGTCCATAAGGTCTTTCCATCTTTTAATCTTTGTTTGGTCTAGTTGTATGTACCAAGTCAGTACAGATCCAGTCAAGCTTTTAGGAAAGAAGTTTATCAGAAACTTCTCATCTTGTGACCATATGGACATCTTTGTGCAATAAGCCCTCAAATAATAAATTGGGTTACTTGTACCATCATATTTATTGAAGTTTGGCATCTTGAATTTCTTGGGAATATCAATTTATGTGGTTAAGTATAATTCCTTCAAGTCTAAGGAACCCCACGCATTTGATCCTTTAAGAGCCTTCAATTGATCTTTCATCTCTCTGAGTTCTTCTTTCAACTCCTTCTCTTTGTATGACACTTGTGGGATTTGGAACATGTAGGCGTGATCTTTCCTAGGACCATCTGGTATGTTAAAGGCCCCTATTCTAGAACGTGGGTATCTTAAGATTTAATCCTCTATTTGGCTCAATTGTTCTGTTAGCTACATTCTCATTCGCTATAGTATTTTGTGGTAGATTATCATCACTCTTCCTTTTTAGAGTCTCTGTTAGCAGTTTCATCATGTCGCTTATTTCGGCTATTTTGGATTCCACTGCAGACATCCAATCATTTAAGGCTACTGACTCATTCCCGTTTGAACTTTCTATGGCACAACTACACGATCGTGTGCTGTATGTTTAAGTGGCGGGAATTTGGTCAAATGAGTTTTTCTTTCGAGGCGCAATGTTGGCCTACTCGTGTAACATAATAATTAATTTTAATAAGTTTTACCTTTTACGTTTGTTTCATAAGATATCCAGCATTGTGTAGACATAAGGGTTTCACGATACAGGCACCCTTTAAATTCCTCCAGAAATTTATTATTTCATAAGGAATTTAAAGTTGACCATTGAATGAGAAGGATATTAGATCCCATAAAAATTCAAGGTTTTAAGCGAATGACGATAATACAAACCAATCAACAATTTCACAACCACAAAGCGTCATATGGATCCTCATACAATGATTCCAATATTAATACAGATTGAGAACTTTGTCACACTATTGAGTTCTTTTACAATTTCATGACACAAATGAAAGAATTCAACAATCTCTAATGGACTTCCTCTGGGATGAACTATGCCTTCAGCTTGCTTGAATGCTCTTGTAAATTTTGGAATTTTGCATTAGCCAAATCAATCATCTGCCTACATTTTAACATCCATTCTTTAGTTTCTTTTGTTTGATCAAGGCAAAGTGATTTCCATTCCTTTAAGACTTCATTCTATTGATTAAGCCTCTGAACAAAGTTTTATGCTGTCTCAGCTGTACTTCCTCTTACCCTAGCTAGCTCATTCACCTTCCTTTCTAATTATTGTGTGAGTGTATTGATTTCTTGCTGCATTTCCTTAACAGGCCTGATGTCTTGTAATTCATTTTTC